ACGCCCGGCTAATTTTTGTATTTTTAGTAGAGACTGGGTTTTGCCATGTTGGCCAGGCTGGTCTTGAAATCCCAACCTCAAGTGATCCACCCACCTCAGCTTCCCAAAGTGCCGTGATTACAGGCATGAGCCACAGTGCCCGGCCTCCTGCTTTGCTTTCTATCTGCTCCTTAGATCGGATGTTCCAGATTGTCTCTTCCCTTGCCCATTGCTCCTTCTTTACCTAGTGATGTGGGTATGAGCCAGCCTTTCCCATTTCTATGCCCAGGTCCCTATACCCAAACGCCCTACCCTGCCTTCTGCCTGGGAGGAATCGGATACTTAAGAACAGTGGTACTGGATGTTTGCGAAGGTAGCATGTTCCGTGTCTCCAAAGTTGGGGAAGCAAAAATGTACGCTTACCTGTTGAGAATATTACTGAAAGGATGTGTATCAGTTCATTTCTTTGCTTATAAGTAACAAAGCTGTCTCTGGCCAACTTAAGCCAAAACTGAAAGAACATTGAGTAACTGAAGAGTCTGGAGAATCAGTCCAGGAACCAGAAACATCAAGGTAGCTGCAACCCTCGAACCATCTTTTCAAGGTGACATCTCTGGAATGGGTGAACCTCCACATGTTTTCAGTCCATATTTCACTCTACTCAGAACTCAGAATCCAAGGAGCAGAAGTTTTGAATGGCCAGCCTATTCCAGGAGCTGTAACTGAGTGGCAGGGGTCTGGGGTGGGGGAAGTGAAAGGAAGATTCTGACTCCAGAGCCTGTGAAGGCCTCTGAAGACCCCTCCTGTGGCTCTCATCAGGGGAGCAAGACACCTGATTTAAAACCCCCTCAGCTGGCCGCGGTGGCTCACGCCTGTAATACCAGCACTTTGGGAGGCCAAGGCGGGTGGATCATGAGGTCAGGAGATCGAAACCATCCTGGCCAACATGGTGAAACCCCATCTCTACTAAAATTACAAAACTTAGCCGGGCGTGGTGGCGTGCGCCTGTAGTCCCAGCTACTCAGGAGGCTGGGGCAGGAGAATCGCTTAAACCCAGGAGGCGGAGGTTGCAGTAAGCCAAGATCATGCCACTGTACTCCAGCCTGGCTACAGAGTGAGACTTCGTCTCAAAAACAAAAAACGAAAACAAACAAACAAAAAGACTTCAAGCCCAAACGCAGTAAAGGGCAGATCACCCCCCCAAAACACACAAAGCGTCAGGGGCTGTTAGGAAAGGGGAAGGACACTGGGTTGCTAAAAGAATGACCCTCAGAGAAACGTTGCACTGCTTTAGTGGATCCTAGATGCTGGACTTTCGTAGACTTTGAAAAAAAAAGGTTTTCACTAAGTAAATTCATTAAAACAAAATGCTGTCTGTCATCAGTAGCATTTCATAAAGAAAGTCATTAATATCACAAAGCAAAAAATTTAAAAAGTCCTTAAAGTGAATCAGTTTACTTCTTGTTCGACTCACATTGAATTTTCCTTGTTTCCCTCATTTCCCTGGTGACCACCAGACACAGCATGGCCTCCATTAGGAGACAGGGTGTCAGAGTCACTGGACCACATGATCTATAAATTCCCTACTAACTCCAGGTCTCTGTGATTCCAGTGGTATCTTGCTATTAGAATAGTGGTTCTCAAATGGGGCAATTTTGTCCCCTGGGAGACATTTGGCCAGCTCTAGAGACATTTCTAGTTGTCACAACTGGGGGCAGAGGGACATCGGGGGAGGCCAGGGATGCTCCTCAGCATCCTACAATGCACAGGACAGCCTTCCACAACAAAGAAATACCCAGCCCCAAATGTCAATAGTGCTGAGGTTGAGAAACTTTGCTGGAGACAGAAGCAATCCCATTAGACGATTAATTAAATGCAACCCTATCCCATTAGGACAGGATTAGAAAATAGTGTGGTTGGGTACTGCTGCAGCCTTTATTCATGAGGCGGAATTTTTGTTCCATTAAGGTATAACTGCTTCTTCAAAATAAAATGTATTTTTTTTTTAAACACAAAAGTACAACCCAAATGTCCATCAGTGACAGACTGGATTAAGAAAATGTGGCACATAAACACCATAGAATACTATGTAGCCATAAAAAAAGGATGAGTTCATGTCCTTTGTAGGGACATGGATGCAGCTGGAAACCATCATTCTCAGCAAACTATAGCAAGAACAGAAAACCAAACACCGCATGTTCTCACTCATAGGTGGGAACTGAACAATGAGATCACTTGGACTCGGGAAGGGGAA